TGCCTTTTCCTGAGTGAAGAGGGCACCAGCCTGGTGTGAACGTGCAAATGGAGCTGAGTGGAGCCATCCAGGGGGTTCTCCAGCTCCCTGATCCCATCCCAGCTCTCCTCTGGGCCTGGGGGTGCTGGGAGGGCTGTGGGGGGGGGCCCAGGCTGTGGGGATTAGGGAGGAAGAGGAGGAGGAGGAGAGGAGAAGCTGCGTCCCAGCCCTGCCCAGCGAGGATGGAGCCGGAGCCACACTGGGAATGTCAGCTCCGGGAGCGTCCAGCCAGGGCTGGAGGAGGAGAAGGAGGAGAGGAGCATCCTGTGGTCCCCGAGCACTTGGAATCAGCCTCCCTGGAGCAGCTGATGGATGCCAATTGCTGGCTGTGTCTCTGCTGCTGAACCCTGGGCAGGTGTCACCAGCAGCTCCTGGCTGTCCCCTGGCAGGTCTGGCAGGAGGTGACAGTGTCCCTCTGGTCACAGACGCAGTTTCAGAGGTGTCTGGAGTTGTGTCAGTGCCCCTCAGACAGGATCCTGCACCTGGGAGCTGCTGGGGACCATCCCCATGCCTTGGGAGACCCCAGGGTTCGGAGCAGGAGGTGATGAGAAGCTGCATCCTCTTGCTGTGCCCCTTCCCAAGAACACTCATTTACAGAGAAATCCTCTGGAATTTGGGGTTTGGGGTGAGGGGGTTTCATGTGAAGCCCCTGGAGTCACCAATTCCCCCACAAGGAGTGAGATCCCATCCCGCATTCCTCGTGAACCTCTGGATCTCCCAGGGAGCTCTGGAGCTGTGTCCCAGCATCCCATGGCAGAGCTGAGCTGGGAGCTGCTTCCCACGTTCAGGGAACGTCATTTGCATTCCTGTGACAGTCCCTGTCACCCTGGGATCAAACCCTTCACCCTGTGCCAGGGACAGCTCGGAGGGAGCGGCTCTGGGGGCTGCAGGTGCAGAGGTGGGAGCTGCCAGAAGGAACTTTAGGAGTTACCAGATGGATTTATCCCTGTGAGGAAAGCAGGAACACCCTGGATTGCGCAGCTGCTGCATCCTGGCTGGACCCAGAGCACAGCCAGGTGACACCACACAGGGATGTCCCCTCCTGGAGCCCTGTCCTGGATCAGCCTGGATCCCTCTGAGCCTGCTCCAGCCTGGCCTCCACCTGCTCCCTGCCTGGATCTGCCTCCTGGGGACGGTGTGGACAGCCTGTGTGACCACAAGGGACATTTGGATGCCACCAGATCGAGGAAGGAGCCAGCCCTGGAGTTGCAGGAGGCACCTGGCAGCTCCCAGAGGGATGGGATGTGTCCTGGCACCGTCACAGCACCGCTGACGCCGGATCCGAGGTGGAAGGGAGCAGATGCACCCAAACAGGAGCAGGTTTCCCTCTCCTGGGAAATCTGGAGCGACTCAGCTGCCTGGAATTTGGGCTCTGGGTATTCCAGACTGTGGATTCACACCCTGCTAAAATCAGCCTGCGAGGGATGTGCACAGCAGATGTCTGAGCCTTCCTGAGCCGCGAGTTCAAAATTCCCGCCCTGCCAGGGCTGATTCCCGCATGGATCCCCGCAGGAAAGATGCCCAGGGCTGGGGATGGAGCTGTGGAGGGAACTGCTGGAACACAAAGTCCTTGGAGAGGAGGATAAGGCTCCTTGGAAAACATCTGTGCCCACGGGAATGAATTGGATCTTTGTGATGCTGAACCCAGAGTAAATAGGAAAGAAGGAGGGAAATGAGAATGGGGTTTTTGGGAAAGAAGGAGGGAGATTTTTTGAGAAAAAAGGAGGGAAATGAGAAGTGTTTTTCTGAGAAAGAAGGAGGGAAATAAGAGATGGGTTTTTTTGGGAAAGAAGGAGGGAAATGAGAAACATTTTTAGGACGTGACTGTGAACCAGAGGCGTTGGAGGGCTTGGAGCAGTGGGTGGTTTTCCCTGGGGTTATTTCTGCCACAAAGATGCTTTCACAGCCTGGAAAAAAAGCTGGGATGGGGTGGACATTCCTTGGAGAGGATCCTGCAGCTCCAGTCTCGCCCCCCTACAGCTGCTGGGTTCTTCCCAGGCCTCTCTCCCTGCTTCCCTGAGGATCCTCTTGGTGAAGCTGCACCATGGTTGTGTTACAGAATTCCTGGGATGCAGAGGATCAATTTTTCCTTGTGGGAGCATCCTGGGGCTGGAGGCTCAGGGCTGTGGGGACAGTCACTGCTGGATGGGGACACTAATGCCGGGCTCCAGGAGCGGCAGAGATGTCGACATCATTTTTCCCCCCTCATAAATATGAATGCAGCCCCTCCGCAAAAGTGCACGGCTCTAATTAATGAAATATTGATTTTTCTGGAGCGCTTCCGCCGCACCAGCAAACACGGGCAGCAGCTCTGGGCCCCACACAGAGCTCAGCAGAGATTTTTGGGGTGGTTTTGGGGAGCCTGAGCTTGTCCCTGGATCCCTGCAAGCATCCAAGGCCAGGCTGGACGTGGCTTGGAGCAGCCTGGGATGGTGGAAGGGGTCCCTGCCTGTGGAAGGGGCTTGGAACTGATGTCCTTTTGCAGCCCAAACCATTCTGGAATTCTTCTGGCTTTTGTGAGCCTCCATCCAAACGCTGGCAGGGCAGCTTGTGCCCAGAGAGACCCCATGGGAGGAGGGGAAGACCCCCGGGGTGGGTCCTGCTGCTCTGGGGGTGCTGTGCCCCCTCCTCCCCTGGCTCTGCCCCTGTTCTGTCACTTCCAGCAGGTTCCAGCTGCGGGGTTTGGGTAAATCCTGGCCATTCCCATCTGCTCCAGATGGAGCCCCCCAGGGATCTGGGTCATGCCAAGGGGGGCTCTCGGGGGCTGTGCCCCCCACCCAGGACAGCACAGCCTGGGATGGGGGAATGTCCCCTCTGGGGTGTCCCCATGGTGTCCCCCAGGGCGGGGATGGCATCTTCCATGTGTTTAACCTCTCCCCACAGTAATTCCTTAATGAGGCCAGGCCCGGGGCAGGGTGGTAATTGTGTTAATTGCCTGGGTGCCAGACCCTCGTCCTCAGCATCCCAGCTGGAGTTTGGACAACAGCGGCTTGGAAAGGCCTAATCCCCTAATTACGGTGTGGCAGGACAAAGGCTCGTTAACCAAATTAAAACAAGCAGAGGGATGGATTCCCAGGGGTGGATTCCCAGGGGGGGATTCCCAGGGATGGATTCCCAAGGAGGGATTCCCAAGGGGGGATTCCCAGGGGTGGATTCCCAGGGGGGGATTCCCAAGGGGGGATTCCCAGGGAGGGATTCCCAAGGGGGGATTCCCAGGGGTGGATTCCCAGGGAGGGATTCCCAGGGTGGAGCAGGGATGTGACAGGGACGTGTCCCCTGGCACTGCTGGGGTCCTGCTCATCCCGTGCCATCCCCAGTGTGGGGGTCCTGGGGGTCCCTGCTCAGCTCCCGCCGTGCCAGGGCCTGGAGAGAGCAGGGGACGAGTCAGGGAAGAGAAAAGAGCAGGGAAAACTTGGCCAGTGAGGATGAACCTGAGCGCTGGTGATGGGGAGGTTCCTGGGGATGAAGGGTCTTTACACCGGGAATGTTTTTAATCCCAGTTTGAGGTTTCTCTGGAAGTCCTGGCCAGGGAGGGACTCATGGAATGGTTTGGGTTGGAAGGGAACTAAAGCTCATCCCATTCCACCCCTCTCACTGTCCCAGGCTGCTCCAAGCCCTGTCCAGCCTGGCCTTGGGCACTTCCAGGGATCCAGGGGCAGCCCCAGCTGCTCTGGGCAGCTGTGCCAGGGCCTGCCCACCCTCACAGCAGGGATTTCCTTCCCAAAAATTCCTTCTTCCTTTGAGGAGTTTGTGATGGGAGCAAAAGGATGAATTTCCCTTCACCTTCTGTGTGGAAAATGAGGAAATTCAGGTGCTTCCAGCCCTCTTCCTGTTCCTCCCTCTCCATTCGCTGGGCCTGGGGATTGTGCCACGTCCCCCTTGTCCCTGGCACGGCAGCTTCCCAGAAATAGCTGTCCTTGGGACAGTGGGGGGTTATCTGATCCTGGAGCTGCTCTTCCCTGCCCTTGCGCTGTCCTGCTCCTCCAGGAGCCCGAAGGAGGGGAAGGAGGAGCTGAGGGAACACGGCCTGGGGAGGGACACAGAGGAGTGACCCCGGGAATGGGGCACTGGTGGCACTGCCTGGGCTGGGTGCGCCTTTGGAGCATCCCAGTGTGCTGGCACGGAGCCCCAGGGCTGTGGGGCAGGGCTCTGTACCTCTGTGGGTGTCTTCAGGATCTCCTGCTCCATCCTGGATCCCCCTGCTCGTGTCCCTGTGAGCTGCCGTGGGGACAGCAGCGTCCCCTGTCCCCGTGGGGGCTGCAGGTGGGGCAGCAGGACTGATCCCAGCCTGATTCCCTGCTGGGGAATGGGATCACAGGGAAAAATCCCCTGTCCCTGCTGGGGAATGGGATCACAGGGAAAAATCCCCTGTCCTTGCTGGGGAATGGGATCACAGGGAAAAATCCCCCATCCCTGCTGGGGAATGGGATCACAGGGAAAAATCCCCTGTCCTTGCTGGGGAATGGGATCACAGGGAAAAATCCCCTGTCCTTGCTTGGGAATGGGATCACAGGGAAAAATCCCCTGTCCCTGCTGGGGAATGGGATCACAGGGAAAAATCCCCCATCCCTGCTGGGGAATGGGATCACAGGGAAAAATCTCCTGTCCCTGCTGGGGAATGGGGACACACACAGAGCCGTGCTCAGGTGGCTTTTGGGGA